ATTTGTGCATTATTCCATTTGCTCAAAACCTGGCAACCTTATCATGCTGAAGAAACTCCAGGGGGTTACAGTTACTGTGCCTGTTGGCTCATTAGGAAATAACTCCCCTTAATAACTCCCCTTAAAACCCCACATTGAGCTTTAGAGGTGTTTTTCACATTGAGCAGATGTTTTGATTTAGTTTCATCACAGAATAATTACGTCTGAGACAATGAATAATATAAACTTCAACACTGCAAATATCTTGTGAGCAATTGATTAAAATATCATGTTAGAAAAAATAAAGTGATTATTCACTACCGATGCAATTAAGTGTCATATTTAGATTTCAGAGTATTATTTCCGCCTTGAAACACAGAGTTTATTTAAATATTATGTTCTGCTAATTCTCCCGTGCAACACTCTTTCTCCTCATGTTTTTCTCTACAAATTGCAGAGCACACATTTTTTTTTCTAAAGACATAACCAGCTTTTAATGTAGGTCTTTTGCTGTGTAATTTGTAGCTTTTCGGTAGAAACAACACTTTGCTGCAAGAAATAATTTACCTTATCCTCAGGGTGCCATGAAAACACTCTGCAATCTGGTCTCCTGGTGTTGAGAAATGTTTGGATCAAATCTGTCGTGCGGATATTATCACAGATTATATCTTTGGTGGGCGTATTTCTCCGCTAACTCCAGTGATTAAACTCTGCCATACAGTCCAGACTAACAGCAGGCAGGCTGGTGGTTTCTTTTAACAGTTTGTTTCCATGTGTTGTGTGACAATGATTAAGCTTCTGTTTCATTGCTGTTGTCGGGCCCTGGGCTTTCTCACTTAGAGACTAGCTAATTAAACAACTCTATCTTTGCATTCCCACTAATTACTTCATTTTTAAATCGCAAGTAAACAAGTTGTGTCGCTTCAAAGCACCATTCATGTCTGCTGGAGACATTGGAAATCATTCATCTGGATATAAAGGCATTGAAATTGTTATACATCTTGTACTCTGCACAATAAAAGTCACAACACAGTGTCTGGCTGGGTTTACAGAGTGGCCTTGCTAACAATAGAAATGTGGCATATGCATGGCTGACATTATGACTTAATCCATCTGTCTGCACTGGCTTAACAGATGCAAGAGTTTATTTTGAGTTTAAGATCCAGGAGAACCAGACTCAGAGAACGTCATAATGTACTGTATCTGTTGCTCTTTTGTTACACGGCTTGGTTGAATACTTGATTGTGATTGGTCGATTTGGACATTCCAGACGTTGTTCTTTTGCACTAACAGGCCGTTGCTAGTGAGAACAGACCGTTGCTAAGGAGGGTCAAGCAGAGGATTCATGATGAATTCGAGAAATCAACAGAAGAAGACAGACAGGAAGTAAACACTAACGGAGAAGCAGAAAAGACCAAGCCCCCAGGAAGTGCTCTGAGGAGAAAACGTGTTGTATCCAAATGGCGGTACTACAACTCCCGTATCAGTCCGTGACGTCACCCCGGCTCAGAAATACTTTTTCCCATTGACTAACGGATCATTTTTTTGTAACTAAATAAACTGCCCAGTATGAACTATTTTATAGCCCTTATTATAATAATTCGGCCCTTAAAGTTGTAAAATGCACTAAAAGCCGAATCTAGATGTCTTTTCTCTCTCCATTCATTCTAGTGAGCCGAGAGTGGGAGCTCGGGGGGCGGGGCTTAAGGAGCGCATGCTCTGTGAGCGCACATACGGGTTCTTCTGCTCTGAAAGCCAGGCATGATGGTAATCTGTGACGTTTCGCTCTCTCAAAAGTTGGGCCATTTTGTCCTCATGCGCCAATGAGAAAAGAACGAGACCCCGCCTCCCGCGCTGTATCCAGTTCTTATTATACATCCATGGAAAAGACAGACCGGAAGTAAACCCTAACGGGAACAGCAGAAGAAGAAAGACAGGAAGTAAACACTAACGGAGAAGCAGAAGAAGACAGACAGGAAGTAAACACTAAAGGGAACAGAAGTAGAACACAGACAAGAAGTAATCACTGAAGGGAACAGAAGTAGAACACAGACAGGAAGTAAACACTAAAGGGAACAGCAGAAGAAGACAGACAGGAAGTAAACACTAAAGGGAACAGCAGAAGAAGACAGACAGGAAGTAAACACTAAAGGGAACATAAGTAGAACACAGACAGGAAGTAAACACTAAAGGGAACAGAAGTAGAACACAGACAGGAAGTAATCACTGAAGGGAACAGCAGAAGAAGACAGACAGGAAGTAAACACTAAAGGGAACAGCAGAAGAAGACAGACAGGAAGTAAACACTAAAGGGAACAGCAGAAGAAGACATACAGGAAGTAAACACTAAAGGGAACATAAGTAGAACACAGACAGGAAGTAAACACTAAAGGGAACAGCAGAAGAAGACAGACAGGAAGTAAACACTAAAGGGAACATAAGTAGAAGAAAGACAGGAAGTAAACACTAAAGGGAACATAAGTAGAACACAGACAGGAAGTAAACACTAAAGGGAACACAAGTAGAACACAGACAGGAAGTAAACACTAAAGGGAACATAAGTAGAACACAGACAGGAAGTAAACACTAAAGGGAACAGCAGAAGAAAACAGACAGGAAGTGAACACTAAAGGGAACAGAGGTAGAAGACAGACAGGAAGTAAACACTAAAGGGAACAGCAGAAGAAGACAGACAGGAAGTAAACACTGCACATTGTCCCCAACATAATGGTACAAAGTCAGTTTTCTGCAGTATTTGTAGATCTATAACTGAGTATGAAATTAAAAGGTTTGGAAATAATAGCAGCAGCTCAGCAGAGTTTCTCATCTGTAACAGGAAATCTTTTGAACGCTCCAGTGACAGAAATCATTTTTCCCTCCACAGCATCATCGATAAGTATTACTCACAACATTTCAAAAATGATTGCTACTGGTATTTGTTGTCTCTTAAAGATTTTCTGGGCTGTTACACCATTTCTATAGTGATCTGGCTTTGGGCTTGCATTTGTCCATCATTCTGTCCCAGCGCTTTTGTAATCTCAGATTTTTTGCAGTGGAAAATTATCTTTTTAGGTTTATTAAGTCTTTACTTTTCCCTTAATTTCAGTTTGTATCCATTGTTTGTGTAAAGTCATAATTTTTCTTATGTGTTTGTTAGATATTGAGCTTTTTGGCTGTTATCTTCGGTGCAAAGCTGTCATTGCTATAAGGCCTAGCATGATAGCTCAACATGGACAGTGTGTCTTTGTTATTGAAGCCAATTTAATACCTTAATTTGTATTATTCTTTTTAATGCGTACTGGACACACGTTTATCAGAATATCAATATCTGGTTAAAAAGAATGACTCACAGTTAATTACACACCGTCAGAAATAAGTCAAGCACGCAGCTACAAGGTTATTTATCCGTCTTTCAGATATCTGTCAGGCGTAACAACCCACACAGCATTGGTCTAAAGCCGAAGCAAGAGAAACTAAACAATTACGAAGTTCAGATAAAGAGGAAAAAGTTAGAAAAGGTGCTAGAAGAAAAGGAGATGTGAGTCAGGTGGATGGATAATCACACGGCTTTTGCTTTCAATAAGATGCCTTTGTGAAGTGTGCTCATTCACAGGATCTATATTAGATTCGAGGAGTTTAATGAAAAGGATTGAGTCAACCTCAAGGCCTTCTGTCAGACTCGAATGAAATCAACAAGTGCGTCATGTACGTGCATTTTGTGATGAAAACACAGCTGTTGTTAAAATGAACGGACTTGTTTCTGCGTATTGATATGAATGCACATAGTCCCTTTTATCCTCCTCAGCAACAGTCTGTTCTCCTTAGCAACAGTCTGTTCTCCTTAGCAACGGTCTGTTCTCCTTAGCAACGGTCTGTTCTCCTTAGCAACGACCTGTTATCAATAATTAACAACCTCCAAAATATCCAAATGTACCAATCAGAATCAAGTATTCCACTAAGCCTGTTTAAGCCCAGATGTTTCTGTCTTTGGAACTTCTTAAACCTGTTTTAATACCTGTATTTTAATCAGTCCTTTAACATGAATAAAGTAACTGAATACTGGGATTACAGAGCAGCTAACAACAAGTCATATTACATAACAATTGTACCCTTCACATAGCCAAAAAAGGTCAGGAAATGGAGGAGATTGGAGACATTTCTTGCCTTCTTTCTAATTTCTGTGAATTACAGAGCTCAATACAAACTGCAAGTAGACTTAGAATATCCAAAGAGAGACTTATTTTTCATGTGCGTGCGTTCTGTGACCATATCTGTGTAAAAGCAGTCAGCTATACGGACGTCTCTTTAAATGCGTCCACTTGTGACACTGAGCTAGCCAAAGCTCAGCTGGTGATAAGGATCCTTCACAGAGGAGCTCACTGTTAGTAAGTGGGAACATTAGGTCAGTGAGTTAATGTTGTTTACATTGATGAAGCCTTGCCCCGACATATCCTCACTGCTGTGCTTCCAGAATCATGAAATAGATGATTAACCCTGGCCTCATGTTTACCGCCCCGAGGGAAACCTCAAGAAGGGCTCAGTGCAAAATATACAATATGTCTGCCTTAAACCGCTCACTGCAGGGAACTGAACAAAACACCTTATTTAAATGATGTCGAAAATCGTAATCCATTTAAACCCGTCCCCTGTCATTTCAATTATAAACTGTTAAGAAACTAAGCAACATTTAAAACAGTTTCTGCATCGACTTTACAACCTCCATAACTTTCTGTTTCTGTCGCTTCTTGATTGTTTGTGTTCTTGTGAATTCATGACTTTACGAAACATTTCTTGAAATGTGTTTTCTGGATATCATAAGGACTGAGTTGAGATGATTGATATAACCCTAATGTGTGTGCGTTATGTACTGAAAAGAGACACAGTCACTGAAATCACCATCTGGTTTTTGTCATCGTTTTGAACTTTATTTGAAGCAACAAAAAGTAGACCTCAACATTTTCGAAATTGACCAATCAACATTGAGTATTCACTTGTAATAACGACATCAACATAGTGCTCACCTTGCTGGCTCCGGGCAGTAGATGCAACTTGACATAAGGGTCTGAAAGCCCGTTATGGTCCATCGGCTTGAGCCCCTGGGAAATAAATCACAGACAAAAGTATTAGTAAGAGAAATCAGCCAAACATTATTTCTGCTATGAGTAAGCACCTTTATTAGCATGAGCTTTGAACGTTTGTTAATTTAAGGGACAATACATGGAAGGTTGGGACAGGACACTGAAGGTGATAGAAATGTATATTTATTGTGCATTTTGTGAATGTATTTAACTTAATATTTGTAAATAGGTATGTTCTGTATCTCACTATTTCCTACGCATCCTGTGCAACACTCGTTCATTAGTGATTCAAATCAAATGATGCAGGTTTAACTTCAGCAAGCAAATCTGAAGCGAACAAGTAGCGAACTGTCAGCTATGCTAACTATCCTTATTAGGCAATTATGAAAAAATAAATAAAAAGTATTTTCTATCAATCGAATCGTTGACTTGTTCTACACAGAACCACTTCTCCTGAAAAGACCCTTCACATCACCTTGATAAAGCAAATCAATGCAATTCAAAAAGAGGGAGCAGGAGGTAAAGGTCAGCCCAACAGTGACTAAATAAAACCACAGAGTGAAGTGAAAACACCTGAAGGCTTTCCGCAGTGAAATGTAGAGCAAATAAAAAAGAAGAAATTGAAACTTCAATCAAAATGTCCTCCCATGCCGAAGAGCTTTTATAAGTTGTGTTTTCTTTGACCTCTGTGGTGTTGAGTTTATTACTGACCATTAAGACATACTAAAGATAGTTTTTTTAGGTTAGAGAATAATTGTCTACCAATATACGTGTTGTTTGTTGGTGATACTGGGCACATCTGAACAATGTAACACACTTCGAAATGCACAACTTCATCTCCTGTCCTATGGTCTCCTGTGTGCAAAGAAACGTATTCTCCTGTTATGGAAATCAAAGAATGTGCTCAGTTTTAAAGCTTGGATTGCGGCATTGACTGATACTCTGCATTGAGAAAGAATTCCATATATCCTAAAAGATAGACTGTGGGATTCCAAAGGATGTGGGGTCCAATGGTTTCATATAAGGGACGGCCGGCTGAAATGCACTGCACAGACAATCGCTTTTGAATGGCTTGGGTGGCACTGCTCGGGAGGGAAGGGTGGGGGGATAATCTGGGCTCACCTGCACCCTTTAAGTTTATTTATTTATTTGTATTATATATATACTATTTTGTATGTTCTTTCCCACTATGATTAGGTATGTCATTAAGTATGTTATTCATGCTATGTTTTTTCTTTATTATTTCATGTTGGCTGTTATGTGTGTCTATGTTGAAAAAAGGGAAGCATGACTTCCACCCCAAAGAAGTCTGTACTAGTGCTTACACGTGGATGCTTCTTCTCAATACAAATATTTGAAACGAAATATACGTGTTGTTTTTCAAATGGGTTTTTCGCCTATACCTGCATGGCTAAGAACACACCATTAACCCTCCTGTTGTCTTCGGGTCAAATCTGACCGATTTACTACTTTCATCAATCATAACTCTTTGTTTTACATTCCATTGCATTCAGGCTTCATGATATCCTTCACAGGAGACATTTGAACATATAGCATTGCTGATCACCACTTTCATTGTATTTTGGATGATTTAGTGAACTTTGTAACACCATGGTGTTCCCGGTCAAAAATGACCACCATAAAGAAAAGGAATTAGTAACCATCCGGATCAGATAAAACACACGCACGCACGCACGCACGCACGCACGCACGCACGCACGCACGCACGCACGCACGCACGCACGCACACACACACACACACACACACATACTCTAGATGTGCCCCCCCCCTTATGTGCCCCTCCCCCCACATGGATCACACCTGGCACACGCAATACATGTTCAGTGTCTGTTCTTTGTATATTTACTGCAGTTGTTCATGTGTACCAGTAGTCTGATACAATATGTACAGTTTGAAAGGGTGTTAAATGAAATTTGGTGATGATTAATGGTTTTTGTGTTAATGTAATAGCAGTTCAAACAGGGCCGGTCACATTTGACCGCGAACACCAAAGTAAGGGGGGGAACGAAGACAACAGGAGGGTTAAACCTCATTATAATCACTATTAAGGGGTATCAAGGCAGAGTTGTACTACAAATTACTTTTAAACTCAACTCTTCATATAACATAGGTAGGATTACCTTTTTTAGGGTATCTCCGATGACTCAGAATTGCACTTTAATAAAGCTTTTGAGCAGGATTCAAACATTTAATAAATGAAAAAGAAGTGGTCATATTGTAGTTTATTTATCCTGATGTTCAGACTCAATATTGCTAAAATCCACCTCCCTAAGAATGTATTAAATTATCTGTTAATCTGTTGATTGTTTTTTTGATAATCAATTCATTGTTTAGTAGTGTATACAAAACCGTGAAAGATGCCCGTCACGATTCCCTAGAAGACAATTTGATTTCTTCAATTATTTGTACAAAATTATATTCAAATGTAACGATCAAGGTTGTTGTTGATTTGATTTTGTTTTTCATAATGTTGTACTTTCATCGTTCTTGGCTTTTAGATGGGAAATGCCTTAAATCTTCACACTTCCTGTTGTAACACATGCTTTGTTTTTCTCCATGTCTTTATATAGTGAACAGGAACAGAACATACTGTTTAACACAACAACACACTGTACAGAACATATAGGGAGCGGGGGAGGGGGAGTGTGAATGAGGGAGATATGTAAAGGAATACCGTATGGGAAATATAAGGGGAGTTAAGAATTGAAGAGAGATGTTTGAGAGAGGCCGGCCATTTAAAATGCAATTTTCTTTAATGCATTTGTTTTGCGATCTTCAGAATATCACACCAAGCTATAATAAAGGGAGCCGGTACACCTGACATGCAACACTGGATATTAAATTGGCAAATCTCCACACCTTTCCACAGAAAATGCAATATCGGATGTGTATAGATTTTTCCATTGCATTTTTTCAAGATCTAGAGTAATCATACATTACTTATTCAATATTTATTCAAGTATTTCTACATTTTTCTGAATTATTTTTCATAATACATTGATTTAATTAAATAGTTTTCTTATTTATTTTTCAATTTTTCCTTTTTTTACGTTAGATATTCTTTCCCGGTGCTTCTATGTACTTATGCATTGTTCAGATTTTGCGTCCTTTTTTTAGCTGTGTGTCAAACAACGTTATTCCTGTAAAGTGGTGTGTGTCAGTTATATGAAGAGTGCGGAGCCCCGGGACATGTTAAAAAAAAAAAAAAAACAGAGAGAGAAAAAAAAAGTCAGGATAACGAGTTAGTATCTCGTGCGCACGAGATACTAACTCGTTATCCTGACTTTTTTTTTTTACTAACTCGTGTGCACTTTTTTTTGTTGAGAAAGTTACCGGTGCGCCAAGGAGGAAGTGAAGCGCACAGGAGACAACCATTTCATTGCAGTTTACGTAGGGAAATGACAGTGCATACATTATTTGAGATATATATCGTACTTAGACGGCTAGTGACGGGCGGCCCACTTTGGTACCGGCCCAATGGGATTCGTCCCGAACGTCCCGATGGCCAGTCCGCCACTGGCTCTCTGTGTGTGTGTGTGTGTGTGTGTGTTCTGAGTGTTTGTTTCCCTATAAAACAGCTGCGGGCAGCAGGTACTCTGAGAGTCACGGACATTAATTCATAGATCAAAGCAGACTGGTTTACAGACTCGCCAGTGTTTTGCCAATCCGGTGCTGAAACCAATAGCTCTACACCCCTGGCCGAAATGTCCATAAAATTAAGTCTGACTTCAAAATATATCTCAAATAATGTATGCACTGTCATTTCCCCACGTAAACACAGTCTGCAATGAAATGGGTTGTCTCGTGTTCCACTTCCTCCTTGGTGCATCGGTACGTTTCTAAAAAAAAAATAAAGTCAGGAAAACGGATTTGTTTCTCGTGCGCATGAGAAACAAATCCGTTTTCCTGACTTTATTTTTTTTCTCTCTTTTTTTTTTTTTTTTTTTTTCCATGTCCCTTTAGGGGCTCCGTAGAAGAGCAACTAAAAGTCCTTGTATTTTGATTCATGCACCATTCAAATGCTCATTCTGATATAATAGTACGCAGAATAAAGACCTATACAATAATAATCATAAAAAGATTATAAGATAAATATTTTCTTCTGCCTAATAATAAAGAGTGCACATCACTATAAATTCTCATTTATCAAGCCCAGTGCCATTATTTTAATTACTGCCATTCTTTATGGTTTCTTCTGTAATGGAGAAAAAAGGGAAAAACATAACAATTGTGACGTTCAGCCACAATTATCTGTCCTAATAGAGCAGCTCGGCGCGGAGCCCAGCACTCAGCAGGAATTACTGGAAGCCAAATGACACACACACGCACGCACACACGCACACACACACCCACACAAACTGGATGTGTGTGTGTGTTTGTGTGTGTGTGATATAATGCAACAGGGCTGCTTTACTTCCTGTCTGCACTAAATGCTGCCATGTCCGCCTCTCATCAACAAGTACACATTATAATGGAACATTCGGAAATGACATATTAAGATAGAAAACTGAAACTGCATTAATAACAATAGACATAACATTTTAGGTTTAGTTTAAGATGAAACACCGAGTAGATGATTGGTGCTTTTAATAGACTAATTAGTGTTTTTTGCCTATATATAATATTATTTTACTCTATTAGTCATTGGTCATGGTTTGTTTATTTCAAAACACATGAGCACATCTCAAACTTTAAGGTAAAGTGTGTCAGCATGTTCTGATGGTCATGGGGATAAAAGCAGGGTATCTGGAATCCAATTACATTTGAGATTGTCCCATTTCTTACTGCTTCACATAATTAAAGCTGTATAAAACAACGATAACCAACAACTTAAAAGCTTTAAAGGTCTCCTATCATGCTATTTTTAGGCATATATTATAGGTCTCAGATATATACAAATATATAAAAACACGTCTATGATGTGTTTTGCTCGAAATACAAACAGATCATGCATTTTAGAAATCCCTCATATCCCTCTATTTCAGCTGTTAGAGAA